GCTACGACGGACTACATGGCTTGCTCAGCACCTAATTATGGTCACCTGCTGCACTTCATATTTTTGGATCTCAACTTCCTGCTCTGGATCGACAAGTGTTGCACCCCGCCATGGGGAAATTGAAAGGAACACAAGGACTCCAAAGCATTGTCGAATGCCTTAGCAACGCCTCGAATGAAACTACCCCAAACTCCTGGATAACCAGCCCTGGGTCCTGGTCTTCTACTCCCACTGTGCACCTCCCCGTTGATGATTGTCAGTACTTCTTCCCCACGCCTGAATACAGAAGACAAGATGCTAGCGTTTCTGAAGTGTCAAGCTTTTGGTTGCGTCTGTTTGCTCGAGAATCAAACCCATGTAAAAAGACACATATGACAAGTGAAGGAGGGACGCTAGCATAAGATATATAACTGTTCAACTAAACTATATAATATATATATATATACACTGCTGAACATACAGATCCCGTTCGAGCGCTCGCTTGCTCTGGGTACCTTTTGAATCTCACCAACATGTAATGTCACAAACACTTCCCCTCCAAGTGCCCTTGCGCAATACAAATGAAAACAAATGTATGAATGTATTACAGTTTATGTAAAATGTGGGTTTAAGATATCTAAAGAATTGACGATTGCAGGACAAAATGTGTCAATTAGGCCTGGCAGGACGCGCTAAGCGCCGACCTGCACGTCGCATCTTCATGCCTCGTTGCCTTGAGCTCAGGGACAATTCGAGTATCAAATGGGATGCTTTCATATAGTGCCGAACACCCGGGATCAACAAGGGTGCGTTCTCAAACGCAACCTGTGAAAGAAAGTATCTGCCTCCTTCCTAGACCGGGAAGAGGTTTGACAACATGATCTCAAAAGTCTTTCGAGTGAGAGAGGAAGGTCGTCAAAGAGGTCAAAGTCAAAAGTATCAAAAGTATAAGTATTGATCATTGGATGTGAGGGAGACTTCCACGCTGCTTCTCGGAGAAGCTTCCGGGAACCTTCCGAATCACTTCCGAACCTCCGTTTTCTGTCAACCCAAAATAGAACGACCTCAGAACCTCTCTTTAGTGCGGAAAAAGAAAAACCGGTAAGATGATTATAGGTCATTGTTGTCCCCTTTACTAGGGAGCCCGTCAACTGATTTAAAGGCCCCTTAGTAAAGGAGGCCATGATTTTCTTACCTTCTTTCGTTTCTTTAGCCTTGTTCCACTCCTTTTTTGATGCACGCAGCTACCTCATCAAGGGCAAGAAGTGCTCGCGCATCTCTTCCTGACGAGTGCAAGTAGTTAATCTCATTTCAGGCGGAGAGAAAATGAATGCGTTCTGCTTTCTGGTAGTAAATGAAGGAAAGAAAGGTACTCGTAAGAAGAAACAAGAAAAGAAGCCATGCAAAACGAAACGAAACACTTCGAAAAGCCTTCTCAACTCATCTCAACTCTGCTCATTTCTTTTCTACGGGTCGCAAAGTGAACAAGCTAGGGCTACTAGTCAGCAGAAACAAATCCGCGCTTCATGAGAGAAGAAAACATGGAGCCCTCACATGTCACACATTGTTCTTGTTGAGTCACAAGACTCAAAAGACACTCAAACTGAATGATGAAATCCGAACAACTAAAGCAGGTCAGTCTACACTGTCGAGGGACTCGGATCTACTCCTCTCCTGGGAGCGAACACCAGGACCTTGAAATTGCCCATCATCACTGTAGACTGCCTTGATTTACAGTGGGCTTGGCTCAAAAGCTTGGCAATGGGTTCGGGCAAATTCACAGCTACATGCATGTTCTCAAAAGCTGTTACACAGACCTATAGCAGCCCATAGCTGCTATAGCAGGCATATCATTCTGACACGAAAACTCGCTGGGTCTCCAGCAGCATTCCGGCTGATCGTCCAAATCTAGGTCAGGGACTTGGGTAAGCTTCGCTTGAGATTTAGATCACTGATCTACCTACCTCTGGTTATTCTTTAAAATCCGGTTGACCGAGTTGACCGGCCCTCAAAACTGCGAGGCAAAGGAAAGGCCCTAAGCGGCCAGGTCACATCAGGGGTCACATCTGTCCACTAAATAACCTGGAAGCCATCTTTAAATTCTTATTGTTACTACTAGTAAGGCACCTGTTCCTAGTAGCGTGGCACTTGTTTCTACTAGCGTGGCACTTGTTACTATGATTGTTTTTTTGATTCCCTAAAAACCTAGGAACCTCAAGTTTCAAGAGGATCATACGCATTCACATGCTGCCTGTGCTGCCTGGCCTCAGCTTCCTTGGAGATGACAAACAGGGGAAAGTCATCGCTCGTAGGGGCTCTGGACAGCTCCCCCGGCTGACCACCAGCGACAAGTGGGATAGCTCCGCCCTTTGTTTGGACGAAGTATGAAGTCGAGTTCTTGTCAGCCATGATCATCGCCAGTTCGTCTGCCCATCGTTCTGAATAAGGCACCTGACCCAGACCCAGTGAATTCAAACTTAGGTACAATGAAATTGTCACAACGTGAGTGGATGAGGGGAAAACCTGCATTCTCGAAAGAAATTACTTGACTGGCTACAACATGACATCAAGGATCCTTGGAAAAAAAGGCCAGGGGAGGACAACCTTGGAATTGCAGCTACAAGCCAACTCTTGCATCAGAACCTGCCCAAAAATGCATGAAATACAGGCTCTACGGCGGATCTGATGTGACTTCGAGTTTTCCTTCAACCAATGGCAAAGCATCTAGCAATCGATGCGACTAAAGTTGTTCAGGGTACTGGTGTGCCATGCCATGCTCCAACTACTTCAACTGGCGAGACATCCAAAAGCATCACTGGCTTGGCAAAACCATGTGAAAGGAAGAATATGATTGCATAAATGAAAAGAAACAGTAAAAGTTCTATTTGTCCTCACAGGCTCGAGCTAACACTATCCTGCCACCGCTCCTCATTGTAAGAAGTGGAATAGTCTGTGATCAGCAAATATCCTGGCCTGAAGGCAGGCAGGTGGGTCGCTACGGCCATATCTTTGCAAATGAGCAAATGGACATTTGTGGCTTCCTTGTTACTAGTAGCTTCTTGTTCCTAGTAGTAATGCCAGGAGCAACTAGAGCGATGCCCGTTGTTGCTGGAGCAAATGGACATTTGGCTTGCAACTACTGTATGTACCAGGGGAGGTTAAATCTGGACATTCCAGGTTTGGCTCAGGGTATCAGCCAAATAGCTTTCTAAAGTCAGTAAGCAGACCGTAGATATCTTGGAGGATGGGATCCCAGAAACTGAGACAAAAACTCCATGTCACCAAACAAACAGGATGCATAGTCTTTCATTGATGGTTGGAACGTGATACTTGTTCTGTAATGGGCAAGCAGTTCCACATAACATATGTATAATGTAATATAACATTATACAATATATAACATTGTTGTATATTCAACAATAAATCAAATATACACAGTAATTATGAAAAACTATGTCATAAATCATAGAGTCATAGAAAGAACTTGTGCTGTTATCCCGCTGCACCAGCAAATGTCGGCCTGATTGCAACTGGGATGGGGCTGAAGGCAGTGTAAAACTTGCCACCAGGCAGGAAGGCCATATCCTGCCAAACGCAAAGCCATGTTTGACCAGCTGACTCCTTGCACGTGACAAGGACCTGCTGAAACTCCCAGCGTTTTCTGATTCAGAACACACTGTTGAGTCGAGTGTTGAGAAATTAAGCTGAGCCCTGTCCTCATCCGTCACTTCATAAATGATCACCTGTTAGGATGTTAGGACATAACACGCAAACCAATCTTAGGAATTGACTGTGACTTGACAATTTCCGGAACATTAAAACAACATACCCATCCACAGTAGCCATTTGGGATCTTAGCTAGTGGCGTGAACTGTCAATGAGCAGTGTTCCCAAGGGCCTGATATCTCACTATAATAAGACCTACATTTATACAAACATCATCAAACATCTAGCTATGCACGTTCAACAGGTTGCGCGTTGATTCTTTGAGGAAGAAGTAGCAGCTGCCGAATGGGTGGACAGTGGACTGTCCCGGAATCCAAGAACTGGTCTCTGCCGATGGCCACGAGTAGCCTCTCTTGAACACATTTTGTGGAAACACATACCCCCGCTTGCTCATTGGAATACATTGAATACATGTTACATGCCTGGCGAGAAGAACTATATAATCTATCTTAATTATATATACTGTGACCCATGCTAGCTTGCCACTTTGGTGGCTACGCCGTCCTCGAACTGCAACTGTTGCAGCAGTGGCAATGCCGCTAAGATTACCGGTGTAAATCCCGAACTAGCGTGGCACTTGTTTCTACTAGCTTCTTGTGATTGGCAAACAAGCGTGAAACATTTGAGGCTTTTTGCGTCTGCCTGGCTTCAAAAGTGGCTTCAAAGTTCCACAAAGTGATGCACTCCTCGGGCATCCGTGGCACACGCACACGCGGCACATGGAACCCGGCGCTTGCGCGGCGCAAAAGCATTTGGGCTTGTGGCATGTGTCCAAGCTTTCCAGACATGGTCAGGGCCACCGGAAGCCTTTGACCCCAGCCCTTTCAGACAACCAAACTGTGCCTCACGGCGAGCAACTTGGTGAGTCGTGCGTCACTTTGAGCAGACACGGTAGGACAGCTGCAGCTCAACAAACGCTGCCTTCAATTGACCAAACTGAATTCACCCATCTTGAACGGCAGTAAGTTCAGGCGGATCGCGAGAAGTGACTGCAAATGTCACGACCAAAATGACTCTGAGTTGCACCCTTTTTTTGCTACGAAAAAGGTGGCCACTCAAAGGCTTGGGCCGCACTAAACTATCCGTGTTCAAGGAATGAACTGCCGATGCTTGATCAAACATGGCTTGACAAGCCCTTGGAGGCTTACACCATGCAACTCTTCAAGAACCAAGGCATTTAGATTCCACGATTGGCTTCAATTTGTCTTCACTCTGGAAGTCTGGAAGTTCACCACACCAGTGACACCAGTACTACATTGTTTTTTGTCAAAGTCTCCCTGAGTCACGGTGCGACCTTAAAGAAGCAACTTCTGGCTAAGACGCACATCCTTTGAGGACGCGCCGACTTCCAACAGCAACTCACTGCCAGCATCCGGAGATTTCCATCCACCTGTCCACTTGTCGAATTCACGTTGAAACTGCAGATTCGTGGCGGTAGCGGTTCATAGCTGCATATCCACGTGGAACAGCAGAACTCTTCCATAAACAATGCACACATATGCACACTCTATACGAGCAGTGTAAATTGCAACGAAATCCTTCAAAGACAAAATCAAAAATGGTACCACTCATCTTTTATCCCTGCGGAATGACTTCCATGCTGTCAGTCAATAGCAACGCTGCTCCTTATGGAAAGCCTTCGAATCCCTCCAACACTTCTGTCACAACATGTTGGCCGTCTTTGCCTTCGTAAAAGCTGCCCAGACCACGCTCGTCCAATTGGAAGGTCACCTAATAATGCAGGCAATACCAGCGTGCAACACACTGAATGGAACTGCACACCAACGTCTGCAACTGCCCAACTGCTACCCTGTCCACCAAACGTTGACCAATGTGATGACATGTTACGATGAGTTGCTTTATTGATTCACATGCAATGTCAGCATCGGGTTGCTAAGGAAAGAATGGTGACAGTCTTTTTTTGACGAGAGAAAAGAACGAGTGAGGCAAACTAGACAGCTGACCTAGGCGATGCTTTGGTCCTCAAAGCTACATCCCATCCCACCAGCCCCGTGCCTTGACTGACTCATTAGGTTGCAAGGCCTACAGAGACGTGTGAAAAATGCAATCACAATTGATTCATAGGTCTGCATTCATGATGCTTGGATTCTCTGGATTCCCTGATTGTAGGTTGGAGGCCATCGGTACTAGGAGCAAGGACGCTACTAGTAGCTCTTGGCCATACTACTAGTAGCAAGGACGCTATTAGGTTGGAGGCCATCGCTATTACAAGTTTGCTCTTGCCGGCCACTGCTCCAGGGGCCTTGGTGCGCTGAAAGGCTTTCAGGGCTCGTGGCACCTTGAGTGTCGTGATATAGACCTGAAGGACACAGCTTCTGATCTAATCGTTTCAGGCGTGGACCTTGCCAAAAGAAAGGGTTTCTTCATCCAGCAACTAAAGTCCAACCAAGCTAAGCTTGCAGAAATAAGTGCGGATTTTCATATGGGTGCTCAAAGTATCGGAACTGCATTCAGAATTAAAACAAACGCGGGTGTTCCAGGGTAGTGGTTTCAGACCTACCTATATGTGTGAAGTGAGCCAAAGGCTTTGCACAACTTTATACGAGGCTAACGAACCATCATTCAGCATTCAGTGCCCGGAAACGTGGCACCTGGGAAGTAGGTGCCTATCAAGTCTCGTGTCAAGTTTGGAAGAGCATTGTGAGCAAGTAACTCTCAATGGCTTTAGAAGTCTGCGTTGCAGCAAAGCTTGAACAACTATATACAGCTGGTTGCAAAGCCTGAATGACCTCAGCACCAGTGGCAGCTCCCACATTCTTGACCTTGGCCATCAAGGCAAGTCGGAGATTGGACAGTCTGAAGCTTTCATCCAAAATGACCACCACTTCCAATATAGCAGGATGTGTCGATTGGCCAATAAGACTATATATATATATAACATTGATCAATTCCTACAGTCCAACATCATAGGTGGCTTTTCTCTGCATTTACGGGAAGGGCAGCACTCAAAAGCTATTATTTGAGGCTCTCGAAGAAGCTCTTCTCAACCTAGTGCGACAAGTTGCATGCAATGAGGTGATCTGAGGTGGTATTTATAGAGAAATGACATGTTGGGTGCAGCTTTGCACTCCCACACTTAGGGGCTCCTGGCCTTACTAATACTAGGAGGAAGGACGCCACTAGGGGCTCCTGGCATCGCTACTAGGCGCAAGGACGCTACTAGGGGCTGTTCCCCCAAGCCCCACTAGATCTCCCGGCCTGCAAAGATACTGTGGCAGATATGACGTTCAGGTCCACCTGAAACCGCTTCAACGGCAGAATAATATCACAACCGGAGACTGCGTTGCTTGTCTTGTACCCCTCGTACAAGCACGAGCTTGCAAAGGTTTGCTGGGTGAGGAAGACATGAAACAGCGGGACCTTCGAGGCTTTCAGCAGCCCGGCAGCAAAACTCTAGCCGCGGGGTGAGATCATCGGTCCCAGGCCAACTCGGTCCCATGCCCCTGTGATCCCACATGTACATGACACGAACAATGATGTCGCACCTGCAAGTCACTGTATTCAAAGTTTGTGTAGGAAAGCCTTGGCACATTGCCACTGAGACCAAGCATTCACTATGCCGAATTTGCCAAAAATATCTAAAAGGTTGATACGTGATTCCTACCTACAAGTACCTGACTACAAGAGGGAAAAGGACCATTACTGTACTAAGTACAAAGCAGTATCAACTAAACAATGAGTTCTGCTGAAAGTTCTGTCTTGGACTATCAGTGTCGTGTTGGACATTCACTTGTGGAACTGCTCTTTCTTTTAAGAAGAGCCGGCAATGCCCCTTGATGATGCCCTCATCTGAATTGTTTTGCAGTAAACTGAACAACCTCGCAAACAAAGTAATTGCTCACCAAACAAAACATCGAAGGAGCCCATGTCCAAAGTGGAAGACAGGATCGAGCTCACCATTGCGATAGCCCAAGAACAAGCCCTCGTGATACTCCACATTGCCTAGCGAACGGCAGATTGGCACCAGGACCACATCATCATTACAAGGGTGCACAAGACCGGAAAGGTGCACAAGACCGGAAAATGGCCATTAAAACCAAAAACTCTTTTGAACATGACTTCATCATGCAGTGTGCCTGGCTGGTCAAACTTTCCTTGCCTGGCCACTTCGGAGGATGCCTCGGGCAACGTAGCGTGAGGCGCAATAGAGGGGTAGCACTACTGGACGATGAATATTCCGCTTGTTCCAAGAGATTGTGTTTTTGCTTCATTCATGCAAACTGTTTGCAAAGTACCAGCAACAAGCAACATAACATATCGTTTAAACTATGTTAATATATTTTAATCTGATCTGATCCATATTATATATCTTGCAACGAACTCGTCTTGGCCTCTTCAAGGCATCTTGGCCACGTTGTTGGAAGACGCCCAGAAGGGCACTCACCCAGAAGACATGCAGCCACGGATTCTCCTGTGCACTCCCCACCATAGTAGGACCTCATGTCACTCCGAAACGCGCTTGTACTTAAGGATGGGCTGAGCAAAAAGTGGATGCACTGTCCAATGCAATGATGCTGTGAAATCCAAGTATATAGTGGCTGCTTAACACTTTCATTCTGATGTCGTCACTTGGTGTAGCTTTCACTTCGGGCATCCTTGGACTGTGTGTCACCGCCCTGGTCGCGCTCTTGTCAGGTTTGGGGCTGCAGACAGGAGTACTGAACCAACTTCATCAAGCCACGGAAGCTCCTGCACAGTGAACTGTCAGCGACCCGGTCCGTCATAATATCAGTTTCGCAGGCTTTGTCGTTCCAGGTGAAAGACTCCCAACCCGCTTCCTAAACCCGAAAGTGTGGAAACGGAAACGGGCGAAGATAAACAGGTCCAATGAGCCTCATGGTTCAAGTGCACCTCGACATTAAGGTCGAAAACTACAAACATGTTTGATCCAAAAGAACCGGAGATTGTTGGAGAAATCAAGCTCACTTCAAAAGACATATCTGACCGCAAAGCATCCACAAGCCTTAGGGCTTCCAACATTGAGCACCACCACCAAGGGTTTGCCAGCAGCAGATGCGGAAGCAGCACATCTGCGTGCCAATTCGTCCTGCGGTGACAGACAGCGTCGCAGTGTGGCTTCAGGGTAGGCAGCTGAGACAGTTCATAAGCAGCTGTGTAATTGTTGTACATAGGCTTAAAATTCTGTATGGCTGAGCATCGGCGCGCCAGTATACAGTATATATATATGTATAGATATTACATCCAAATTACATCAAAATACCAAGCCCCAAGGAGTCTGATACGGAAACAGCCAAAGAACACTCAGGAACAGTACTTTATTCTTAGTGCATGGTCAGGTTGTTGCGTACTTCAAACCCTGTAAGACTCAACAGTACTGAGACTCAACTCATTTCATTCCTTTCTATTGTAGCATAAATGTTGAACCGACAAGTTTGCCATCATTAGCACCAGCATCTTCCGACAGGCGCCTGTCTTCCCGGAAGGCGCATGTGCGGTTGGTCCACACCTTCACATTCCCAAAAGCCATCGGTGCCTACAAGGCGGAGGATACATGGGCCAGAAATGTGTGAAAAAAACTTATATATATATATTAATAGTAATATTAACTATAGTGGCATGGTCATGAAATTGAGTGTATGGGACACTGAGACTGCTGACAGCCTCAAAGACCCTTTCGAAGGAGTGGTTGTGCTTTCCAGCGGTAGAGTTCTGCATCCACATGGTCGAAGGGGGCCCTTAGACTTTGTTGACACCATAATGAATCTTACATGTTTTAAGGAATTACCTCGTGTTCTGTACATCTCTGGAAATACAGTACAAGTAAAAGCTTCTGCCATCTTCATATACAGCTTGTGCATGGTTTTGTACAGTTTGTTCGTGTTTGTACATTACATTTGGTGTGAGGTGATGACTGAAGTCCCAGCCCTCAACCTGCCTAAGACCAGTACGGTGGCATCACATTCCGCCGCCAAGTTTTCCGCATGCTGCATGGACTTGGACTCACTCTCCAGAACCTCACAGGATTGAGACATATTGAGACCGTTTCAGACTCTTCGAAGGAGCAGTGTTGCACAATGTTGCACATTCATGATCTCTCAAAATCATTCATCAAGGACTTCATGAATTTGTTGTGGCGAGATGCCATTGAGGAGCCGGAGACTGAGAGTGTCAGACCCAATAACGATGCGAATCAATGCAAATTAGACATCTAACTCGAGCATCGGAATGCAAGTTGCAGCCGTGTCCGAAGCATCCTTGTACAAAATTCATTCGAAGGTTCTCAAGATTTGAAGCCCCGTCCTGCGAATGGCGCACTCGGAGACCTTCTGCACCGATCATGCCCAAAGCGCTGCCGGCACAAACCAGCGCGCCACATGTGGCCACCGCGCCGCCGGCCAACGCAGCCACACCAGCACAGGCACCACCGACCAGGCCACCGACGCACAAACCCCGGAGCATCATCGCCTTATATAGAGGCGGCACAGCTGTCATACTAGGTTGAACAGTTGGTCGTATGCCAGGTGGTGATTGAAATCAAGCGTGTTGCATTCTAAAAATAATCAGCTCAGGCAAACATCCCCCACTTTGCGTGAGCCAAGGTACTCCCCTTCGCTGAACTTGATCACCTTCACCAGAAGGATTGCTCCACTCCATGGAGACAATGCTCTTGTGTGCCTCACGTGCACTGCTTGTACGAGCCGTTCTTGTGATTGAATGATAGAGAACGAAAATTACACCACCGTAGACCCCAAACAGCTGACAGCCCTAAATCTGCATGTCCAAAAATGACCATTGGAAGGCATTGCTTTTGCCAGAAGGCAGATGGGAGACAAATGTAATGAAGATTTGTCAGAAGGCGAGCACTGGAAGAAAAAAGGTCAAGTTTGCTACGAAGGCACACCGCCAAACTGGTAAACAAATGTAAAGATTTGCTACTAAGGAGTTGCCAAAAAGCGGGCACACTAGCCCGGACTCAGAGAAGAATGAAAAGAATTGCTGAGGAGTTGCCACGAGGTGGGTGGAGACACGAACGCGAGAAGTGACATGGAAAAGTGTGCGAAGGAGTTGCCAGAAGGGGGACCACGTCTTCGCCCAGACGGAGGCGGAGACACTTAAATTAAGCATTGAGAACCACAACAGTAGCGTCCTTGCTCCTAGTAGCGATGCCAGGAGCCCCTAGTAGCGTCCTTGCTCCTAACAGTAAACTGTTTGGGGAACTGGACTCACATTCAAACTTTTGGGCATGGGTGGCCGGCTATCGTCGCCAAAGAGCGTAATCGATATTTGGTGAAATGACCAGCGGCTAAAAGCATCAAAAGCATTACTTCACCTACTTCAACTAGCTCACTCTAAATAGTCCTCGGATGCTTCTCTGCATTGAAACCATTCCATTATGTCCCAGTGCCTCATCCGGATTTGTGTGCCTCAGGCCCAAGGGCCGTAGGCAGGGCATGCAACGTCGCCGGAAGAATTCCTGGCCCATCACATAAACGTTTTCTACATCACGTTTCCTGGCATCTTACTGGACATCATAGCATGGTCTACATGCTAGCACATCCAGCACAACAGCACGCATGACAGAGCATGGCGGAAGAAAAGTTTAACAAAGGTGCTCCCAGGTTAAACCAATGCTGTAAGGAAATGGCTACATTGCTTTGGGAATGATGTCTCACAATCTGTTCCCATCTGAATTCACCAGGCCTCAGAGTTTCGGCATCTACCAACTCCAGTCACCTAGTCACCTCACTGACTCCAAAGGCTACGGCAAGGCCTTTTGCGAGCAGCTGGAAGCCACTTGCAGGATGACATCAAGCATCTTTGCCTTGCAGGGGACGGCACGTGAACTCAACGCTCTAATATTCTACAGTATGATATTCTGACATATTCTGACCTACCAGTGAGGTCTCGATCTCAGCGACAAGCAGTTTGAAAGCTGACCTCAAAGTGAAACTGTACTGGTTGCCCATCAGCATGGCAAGCTCCCATCCTGAATCCGAGTTGGCACAGATTGGTCTTGCAAACTGCCGGTGGCGAGTGTGACTTCTTATGGCTTCTTGGGCGACAACACTCTCAGAAACAAAGTTGAAGGATGAAGGATCTTAAATAAGAAAGGCTGAGTTGTGGCTTTGTACCTTTCTTCGCTAAGATCACTGAGGAGCTAATGAAAGTCAAATTTCCCTGGAAAATCTAGGAACCAAATCGACCGTACGATGAATTCTTACCTTCCCTACCCGCCCGCCTTCTTAGCGGCCTTACCATCCCTAAAAGAATGGAGCACGTCATCAGATGAAAACCGATCAGGCCCAGAGTCATTCTTCGTCGACTCAAAAGAACAGTAAATACCTAGAATTAGGAAGCAGAACAAAAAGAACCGCTCAAAACAAAGTAAAGAAAACAGAGCAGACACAACAAAACTAGGCCTAGATATGGCATGATATGTCTAGATCAAGCAAGGCAAAGCCCGAAAGCAAACACATCTGTCGGCCCGTTGTTCCCTCTTCTCGCCTCTTGAGACCCTCGAGCTCCGGGTTTTTGGTCGGCCGCTCTCCCATGAGGCACCCAGCCTCGTGCATGAGCCTCAGTCAAAAAGCACTCAAGATCCACGGGTGGGTCAAGCTGAAAATTCTATGGGAATTGACAGAAGCCTCGGTGATTGCCCAAACACAGCATTGTCCAACAGTCTTGAATTGTCTGCGTTCCCAAGTAGCTGGACTCCCTTTCCAGCCAAGGCAGTTTGCAACGCATCCAGAATTGAAGGGCTTCGATCTGGATGCACCCGGCTACCTTGGCCAGGCTTCCCAAGAATCGTTGACATCTAATCGAGCCGCAAACAGCAACAACTTCAACGGGGATCCAATTCTTAAAAGGATCCAGGGATCCTTGCTCCCAAGTTGCTACCTCCACCTTGCAATGTGGTGGCCGCTGCTTGTGGTCCTATTATCGCCAGGCTTTGCATGCCTCTTAGAGGCAATGCACCAGAGGAGTTCTTCAAAAGCACCTAACGCGTCGTCAGTTCGGCCGAACAGGGCAACGACAAACAGCTACCCTTCCCACTAAAAAGCAATGAGTTCTGCGAGGCGCCAGTGACTCCAAGGCAGCTTGCTTGAAGACAGCTTTCCTCTTCGAAAGCTCGGGAGCTTTGCAGACGCCTCTGAGGGAGTGCATCTGGCCGCAATCTCAGCCATTTGCAGATTTGTCAACAGCAGTGTTCCACATTCAACACTGTGGCTGCTGTGTACAATTCCTTTCCTCATTCCCAATACCGTCATTGATCCAAGAATCTCTGCATCTCAGCATGATCTCAACATGATTTCCTGAGGCCGTCCCTCCAGTCACAGCCTGTTCGTGGAAAGCTGAGCAATGTTCGCAGTACCGGGCGGCAGCGCTCATCCAGTAGCTCCGTGGTGACTTCACCCTGTTGTGCCTGCACGAGATATCACAAAGCACGAGATATCACAAGGCCCCAACTGATGACTGAACATAGGTCATGCAATTGAATATATATATATATATATGTCACTGTGCTCTACACGAAGGAGCCCTCACTTTTCGGAGGTTGCGC